ATCTAGATCATCCATTCAGTGTGCAGATTCAACACATCTGGTGAAAGGATGCAAACCTGACATGCACCTGTTCTGATTTCCAACCAGGCAGTACGCCTTGTTCTGTTTGAATGATTTCCTCCTGGTCCGTGTGCAGGTCCCCAGGAGCAGAAGGGTGTGTTCTGGAATTCATATTCTTCTCCATGCGATCCGTGGTTTATTATGATCCACATAGTCAAATGACTTTGTGTGTTCAATAAAAAAAACCTAGTAAACATTTTCCTGTCATTGTAGACTTTGAGCCCAGATCCATCTGATTCCATCTCATTCCATTTGAGTGACACCCTTCTTTTCACACCCTTTCCTGAATCCGGCTTGCATTTCTGGAAGCTCCCTGCCAATGTCCTGCTGCAACCGTTGTGGAATGATCTTGAACAAAACTTTACTTGCATCTGATATTAATGATTTTGTTAGCTATTTTCTGTATTCTCTGCCATGGGTACAAATACAAATCTCTTTTAGTTGGTTGGCCAGATAGCAGTCTTCCAAAATTCTTGGCATAGGCAGGTGAGTGCTTCTGGAGCTTCATCAGCTTGTTGAAACCTATCAACTGGTATTCCATCAATTCCTGGAACCTTGTTTTTGGCTAATGTCCTCAAAAGAACTTAGGCCTCTTCCTTTAGTACTATTGGTTCCTGGTCATGTGCTACCTCAGGAAATGGTTAAATGTTGATGAGTTCTCTTTGGTACAGCGACTCTGTGTTTCTCTTCCATCTTTTTTGATGCTTCCTACATCATTCCATATTTTCCCCTTAGAATCTTTCACTATTGCAACTTGACACATGAATTATTTCTTAAGTTCTTTTAGCTTGAGATATATGAATGTGTTCTTCCTTGATGGTTTACTAACTCTAGGCCCTTGTACATTTCATTAGAATAGTTCACTCTGTCTTCTTGAGCTGCCCTTTAAATTTTCCTGTTCACTTTTTTACTTCATTTCTTCCAGTCAAGAGCAAGTTTCAGGGGCTTGTCTGACACCCGCTTTGATTTTTCTTTCTTTCCTGCTTTTCAATGACCTTTTGCTTTCTTCATGAACGATGTTCATGATGTCCCCCCCCACTCCTCAGGTCTTCTGTCATTAGTGTTCCATCTGTCAAGTCTGTCCTTGGCATGTTCTCCAAATTCAGGCGGGATAGACTCAAGGTTGTATTTTGGCTCTCATGGACTTTAAAATATTTTCAACTTCAACCTAAATTTACATAGGAGCAGCTGATGCTCTGTTCCACAGTCCCACAGCAAAAGAGGCCTTGTTCAGCGCAGATAAGGAGCTTCTCTCCTTGGAGACGTAGTCACTTTGATTCCTGCGGATTGCCTGTGGTGACGTCTGCTGGCACAGTCCCCATTTAGGTTGCTGGGTAAAGGTATTGGTCATGAAGAAGTCATTGGTCTTGAAAAATTATATCACGTGATCTCCAACTTCATAGCTATCACCAACACCTCCTGTTCCTTCTTTGTTTCCAACTTTCGCATTCTAATCACCAATATTTATCAATGCATCTTGATTGCATGTTGGACCAGTTTCAGACTAAAGAAGTTGGTAGAATTCTTCCATTTCTTCATCACTAGCCTTAGTGGTGGGTGCTTCTATCTGAATAATAGCTGTAGTAACTGGATTCCCCGGTATGCAAACAGATACTAGCCTATCACAGACAGTGTTGTACTTCCAGAGAGATCTTGAAATGTCCTTGTAGATGAAGAATGGGGATGTCATTCCTCTGGAATTTGTCATTCTTGGTAGTGAACCATATGATTGATTCAAAATGGCCAATACCAGTCCATTTCAGCTCACTAAGGCCTGTTATGTGTTTTGATTCACTTTTGATATCTCCCGATTCCCTTAGGTTAATGTTTCACACATTCCATGTTCTGATGATTATGATGTTGCAGACGTTTCTTCTCCTTCTGAGTCATGCCCCATCAGCAAATGAAGAGCCCGAAGACTCTACTCCATCCACATTATGGCCAACTCGACTTTGAGAAGGCAGCTCTTCCTCATATGTTGAGTCACGTTTTCTGTGCCTTCCAACCTGAGGGCGCCTCTTCTGGCCTCTCTCTGACAATGTTCTATTTCTGTTCATTACGCCTTCAGTGTCTGACAATGTCTCCATGCTATTCATAGGGTTTTCAGTGGCCACTTCTTTCTTTTATATATATAATTTATTTATTTACTTTTAATAGTTTTATTAGGGGTTCATACAACTCTTATCACAATCCATACATACATCAATTGTGTAAACCACATTTGTACATTCATTGCCCTCATCATTCTCAAAACATTTGCTCCCCACCCAAGCCCCTGGCATCAGCTCCTCATTTTTCCCCTCC